GTAGTGGAAATGTTGTCGACTTTACCTTGCCAACGGATGAAAGGAAGAGAATATTGTAGAAAGAAAAGAGGAAGAGATAGAGAAAGAGAGAGAGAAGAGAGGAAGGAGAGAGTGGAAGAAAGAGAGAGAGAGAGAGAAGCTAGATGTGCAGGAAAGGGAAGTGCGACAAAAAGAGGGAGAAAGGGAGAAGGAAGAGTTAGAAACACGTTTCGCTTCCTGCCGTCACCTTGAAGCCATCTCTTACCGGTTTACGAGAACACCTACCAAAGTTTCGGTACACTTGCACTTGGAGTCATCCCTCGAAATAGTGCGCGATATAGGTATTGTAATGCCTGTTACGAATACCGGGTAGAGCTGTGGGTTGGGTTTATGACTTGCACTACTCGTTCGCATGCCACCGAAAGACGTGAAACGCTTAAACTCCCACGCCAACCTTTTTGATAGTGACTTCCATTCTCCCTCGCCGGTATATCGCACTAACGGTTCTCCTGCCCGTGACTTGAAACCAATTTAGCATTTTGTATACCGCTCGTTTGTTTCATAATTTTTGATCCGACATCTCATGACGCGAATCACGACACTGAAAGACGCGAATTATATCCGAACCAAAGAACTTTACAATAGTGTATCCGACTTCTTTGAGCTTAATTTATGTATATGCGCAATTGAAAAAAAAGCTTCAATATGTAGAACATCCAGCTTCGTTAGGTTTGAGCCTTCTTCTAAAGCAATTGATAAACGAGGATATCTACTGATTGATCGACAGCCTGTTAAAGTAGTCCCCGCACGTGTAGGCTGCCCTGATGCGGTGAATCACGGGTCACGAAATCTTATCATCTGACACGGAAAAGTGGATAATCTTTTTCACCGTCAGACCAACGATCGATTTCAACCTATTTTCATTCCCCCACAGATTGAAAAAGCAACGTTTCGATTGAGCACGTGATTTCATTCTATACAAGTTCAATAGAGGAAGACGATAAACTTTACTTTTTACAGTTTGAGATTCACGTCTGATCATACGACGAATTTTACTACTTGTAATATCGAAAGCATTAAAATGTATACTAATTTAATGTTGTATAGTAATATTATCAATACCATATAGTTTAATTATTACATTTTAATGTTTCTGATATATTATAAGTAGTAAAATCTGTCATATGGTCAGACGTACATTTTCAAATTTTCCTCTACTAAAAATTATTAAAAATTTTTCTGTTCAATGTTCTTTTATAAAATAATATTACTTAATTAGCTTAATTATTTAAATAGAAAACAGAATTGGTACGAAAGAACTTGAAATTCGATTGAGCATGTGATTTCATTCTATACAAGTTCAATAGAGGAAGACGATAAACTTTACTTTTACAGTTTGAAATTCACGTCTGATCATACGACGAATTTTACTACTTGTAATATCGAAAGCATTAAAATGTATACTAATTTAATGTTGTATAGTAATATTATCAATACCATATAGTTTAATTATTACATTTTAATGTTTCTGATATATTATAAGTAGTAAAATCTGTCATATGGTCAGAGGTACATTTTCAAATTTTCCTCTACTAAAAATTATTAAAAATTTTTCTGTTCAATGTTCTTTTAAAATAATATTACTTAATTAGCTTAATTATTTAAATAGAAAACAGAATTGGTACGAAAGAACTTGAAATTCGATTGAGCATGTGATTTCATTCTATACAAGTTCAATAGAGGAAGACGATAAACTTTACTTTTTACAGTTTGAGATTCACGTCTGATCATACGACGAATTTTACTACTTGTAATATCAAAAGCATTAAAATGTATACTAATTTAATGTTGTATAGTAATATTATCAATACCATATAGTTTAATTATTACATTTTAATGTTTCTGATATATTATAAGTAGTAAAATCTGTCATATGGTCAGACGTACATTTTCAAATTTTCCTCTACTAAAAATTATTAAAAATTTTTCTGTTTAATGTTCTTTTATAAAATAATATTACTTAATTAGCTTAATTATTTAAATAGAAAACAGAATTGGTACGAAAGAACTTGAAATTCGATTGAGCATGTGATTTCATTCTATACAAGTTCAATAGAGGAAGACGATAAACTTTACTTTTTACAGTTTGAGATTCACGTCTGATCATACGACGAATTTTACTACTTGTAATATCGAAAGCATTAAAATGTATACTAATTTAATGTTGTATAGTAATATTATCAATACCATATAGTTTAATTATTACATTTTAATGTTTCTGATATATTATAAGTAGTAAAATCTGTCATATGGTCAGACGTACATTTTCAAATTTTCCTCTACTAAAAATTATTAAAAATTTTTCTGTTCAATGTTCTTTTATAAATAATATTACTTAATTAGCTTAATTATTTAAATAGAAAACAGAATTGGTACGAAAGAACTTGAAATTCGATTGAACATGTGATTTCATTCTATACAAGTTCAATAGAGAAAGATGATAAACTTTATTTTTTACAGTTTGAAATTCACGTCTGATTATACGACGAATTTTACTACTTGTAATATCGAAAGCATTAAAATGTATATAATTTAATGTTGTAAATACTATAATACCATATAGTAATTATTACATTTTATGCTTCTGATATATTATAAGTAGTAAAATCTGTCATATGGTCAGACGTACATTTTCAAATTTTACTAAAAATTATTAAAAATTTTCTGTTCAATTTTCTTTTTAAAATAATATTACTTAATTAGCTTAATTATTTAAATAAAAAACAGAATTGGTACGAAAGAACTTGAAATTCGATTGAGCATGTGATTTTATTCTATACAAGTTCAATAGAGAAAGACGATAAACTTTACTTTTTACAGTTTGAAATTCACGTCTGATCATACGACGAATTTTACTACTTGCAATATCAAAAGCCTTAAAATGTATATTAATTTAATGTTGTATGGTAATACTATTAATACCATATATAGTTAAATTATTACATTTTATTGCTTCTGATATATTATAAGTAGTAAAATCTGTCATATGGTCAGACGTAAATTTTCAAATTCCCTCTACTAAAAATTATTAAAAATTTCTCTGTTCAATTTTTTTTTTAAATAATATTATTAATTAGCTTAATTATTTAAATAAAAAACAGAATTGGTACGAAAGAACTTGAAATTCGATTGAGCATGTGATTTTATTCTATACAAGTTCAATAGAGAAAGACGATAAACTTTACTTTTTACGGTTTGAAATTCACGTCTGATCATACAACGAATTTTACTACTTGCATATCAATATCAAAAGCCTTAAAATGTATATTAATTTAATGTTGTATGGTAATACTATTAATACCATATATAGTTAAATTATTACATTTTATTGCTTCTGATATATTATAAGTAGTAAAATCTGTCATATGGTCAGACGTAAATTTTCAAATTTCCCTCTACTAAAAATTATTAAAAATTTTTCTGTTCAATTTTTTTTAAATAATATTACTTAATTAGCTTAATTATTTACATAGAAAACAGAATTGGTACGAAAGAACTTGAAATTCACGTCTGACTATACGACGTATTTTATTACTTGCAATATCAGAAGCATTAAAATATAATGATTTAATTGTATAGTAATAATATTAATATTATACAGTTAATTTAATATTAATATTATACATTAAATAGAAAACAGAATTGATACAAAAGAACTTAAAATTCACGTCTGACTATACGACGGATTTTATTACTTGCAATGTCGAAAGTATTAAAATGATTTAATTGTATAGTAATAATATTACATATTACTAAAATTTTTATTGTAATATATATATATATATATATATACAGCCTAATTATTTAAATAAAAAACACAACTATTACGGAAGGTCAAACATTCATGTTGACTATACGATAGATTTTACTACTTGCAATAATGAAAATATTAAAATGTAATGATTTAATTGTACAGTAATATTAAAACTTTTTAGCAATATACATATATGTATACTGCATTATATGTATATATATTTATACATATATACATATATACAAAAATAAATTATATGTATAAATAAATAATTACATTGTACTAAAAAATTTTTAGTGTATCTGATGAAAATTATAGTTTTTAATTAGCAGTATGAAAAAATGTATATTGTTACAATTAATTTATGCGTTTTAATGCTTTCAACAAAATTTTTATAAGTAATAAAATCCGTCGTATGGTCAGACATGAATTTGGAGTTCTCTTTATTAGTTCTATTGTCTACCTAAAACAATGAAGCAATATTATTTAAAAAAAAAGTTGAATAGAAAAATTTTTAACAATTTATAAAATTATTTTCTAAATTCTTGATTTAAGAAATTAATAGACGATAGAATCGATGGTATATATACATTAATAATACATTGTGATATTTGAATATAAATCAACTTCTGTTCTTGCTAAGATAACTTACGTTCGATAACACGTTTAGCATGATAATATCTATTCGTCTACATACTAATTAACCAGCACATTGGATCGATGCAGAGCTGAGCGCGATCGATTCATATATAATAAATTTTAGTATTTCGTAGAGAAAACAGCGTAGATTGTATAAGTAGAAACATAATTCAGCGCGTCTACTTGTTTAGCGCAGTACGTTCGATCATTTATCTATTCTAAGGGGACTCTGGTGGTCGGATCCCATGGAACCGGCATTGGTGTCTACGTGTGTTTCTCGCTATCCTAAGAACGTGTCTCCTGTACGAGGAAGGCGGGTCTTACGGTTTGTGATGGCGGAGGGCACGTGAACCCCGACGGGCGCATGCGAACCAACCCTAAAGCTCACGGCAGACCAGAAAGGATCACGTTCTCTCTGTCTCCCCTCTCCTCCACCCCCGCCCCCTCCCCTCTTTCATTCTCTCTCTCTCTCTAGTTCAATCTCTCCCTACCGCTCTTTCTTACCCTCTCTTTTACTCCAGCCGCCACCGAGCCGGGTAAACCCCTCGTGTGCCAGTCCGCACCGAGATTCCGGCGCGAATCGTCCTTTCCCGTCGTGGCGTCACGCCAAGTTCTAGATGGATGTCGCTGATTCGCATTATTGTGTCAGCGATTTACGTCGTCGCGCAGGTGCTCCTCGTCCGTCCATCCCTCGTGGAAGGTCAGTGATGATGAAGTTCGTCGTATCGCTATACTATTGAGAATAATCCGTAATATCTTTTTTTTTACGTTTGAAAACGCGTCCCTTGTGCGTGGATAAGGTGACTTGCTCCTCGGGTACATAGGGCGTTGTGAATCAATCTCGTAAAGTTCGTTTTGATTAATCTGCGCGAAGATTTATATTAATTATTTTGTTAAATTGCCATGTGAGACATACCGCGTATGTTTTTTTATAACTTTTAGTGCTATTATAATATGCAGGATATAAGCTAAGATAAAAATATAAACGCAAAGGCATATAAAAAGAATGGTGTAAGAAACCAATATAAAAAGTAGTTAAAGTTTATCTCTAAAACTTGGTATTTTGTCGAAAATATATTCTCTCTTTTTTTTGTCACACAGTGCTTTTACCATCAAATTAGTCTACGCTTTATATGAGATGAAGTAAGGAAAATAGGATAAAAATATTGATATTTAAATCACTATGTATTTATTTTGGATATAAAATATTTTTCAAACTTAATAATTTCTTCGAAAAGGAAAGGAAATAGAATTATTTGCTTTTTTAAAGCACGCGTACGTTAATGCTTATTTTAGCACACTCTATAAATTACATGTGATAAAAGATAAAAGAACGTTCAAACATTTTATTGAAATAAGTGCATATTTAGTGTCCTAATGTTTGTAGTAATGGTTGTGTTTGTAGTAATGGTCTTCTTTAATGCAACCAAAATTTACTAGAAAGTGCGTTGGCACGTCATTGTGGCGCACCGAGATTGTATGATTTTGGAATCTGAGTTGCTCGGCAAGTTTCAACAGTTTGCGTGCTACAGGATTTCAGCATTAATTTAATGACATGCCATAACACCCTGTGACACGACCGAAGTAATGACATGTCATGCGCGATAAACTATACATGATAGGTACACGACGCTTACATTTTATTTACACAAACTGCTTCTACCGAGAAGAGATTACTTAGCGCACATATGTTAAAAGACGTTTCGCGATTATCAGAAACTGAAGATTCATTCGATCTTTAAATTTATCAGTGCACCGTGTTTAACATCAAACAATAATTTTCTTTATTTTCTATTCGCTAAAGACTATTTTTATGATAATTTCTTTTCTGTTAATTGATTACAGAATAGTTATAGCATGTAAGTATATTATAAATTGAAAATTTTGCAAAATTTTTACAAAAATTTAGATTTCTTATCAATATAGATTTTTCCGATAAAAGATGGCTTTATCGAATAGCTCGTCAGCTTCGCACAAACAGAAATGTGCGAACTAACGTATACGTTTGTGATAACGTTATCGGGGAAATTTAATTTCTCTTCCACGTTTTTCCAGTTTACTTCCATATTCTGGTTTCTCAAAATTCAAGATAAAATTTCCCAAGTAAAATCAGTGCGGTAACATAAAGAATTCAAAGAAAAAAGAACGACGTACTATTTTACTCGATTTATCTAACCGTCGCGTTTTCAACGAAACTCGAGAGATTGTAGTCAATGTACATATTGGAGGGTATGTGATGGATATCTATCTAGCTCCGTGGATATCCAACCCCCGATTGGCCCAAACCCTCGATTCTTCTTGCCAGCGCGATTATCCCCCAATATCCTGATACATTATTTATCCCCATCTATAAAACCTCGGAGTTTTCATGAAGGCGAGAAACCTCCTTCCCCTATCGAGGAACTTTTTCCCATGTCCAATCCCTGGCAGGATCCTAACCCACCGACAATAACGAACGAACGAGGCGGCGAGTGCGAGTGAAGCTTTTCTACTTTCTTCGTCGTCTTTTTTCTCTTCGCTCACTTCACTTCGCCTTTTCTCGGCGAACTCGTCTCACCGGGTCGGAAACCTTTCCGCATTGACTGCCAAAAAAGCCTTGGCAACGACGCGACACTCATTTAATTTAAGGATAACAAAGCGTTATACGAGACAAATCCCCGGATTAGTTTATGGCGTTCCTATTTACACTTTAGTCAGAGGATCACTGTGTTTCATTTCGCCATGTGTACATTTTCAGCGCGGCGCGACGGTTTCATGTACAGAATTTACTGAATAAACAGAATTTCTCTCTCTCTACAAAATCATTGAATGATATAATATAATTTGTAATTTAACTGTACTTTTGATTTGTAATTTATAGAATTTGTAAATTATAAAAATTTTATATACATAACAAACTTATAAACTAAAAATTACTTTTTTGTGGTTTTTAAAATATATTTCTTGGCAGATAAAATGCAATGTAAAAATTCTGAGGAAGATTGTAATAGAAAAATGGTAATCATCATTATTCGTTAATTATTAGCCATGTTGTTATTGTGTATTTTTTAAATTTATTTTCTCGTACGATCGATATCAACTTGTCCCGTATTTAGTTTGGAAAATAAATGATACTTTAAATAGCAGCACGAAAATCAGTTGAATTATCGAAATTCTGTCTTTATAACAATTTGCCACATAGTTGAACAGTTTGGACAATCTGTAAATATTTGTAAAATATTGCATTTTACAATTAAGCTTATATTGAATAAATTATATAAATATATATGTATATATGCGGCCGAAAAAATTGAATTTAAAATTTTAATTTTGATTTTAAAAGATATAAAGATAATAAGAATTGCTAAATTAAGTTTAATTTATATATGTAATTTATATATATATATATAGATTAGAGTTAATTTTTATAGTCATAATGTTAAGAATAGAATCTATTTAAAAGAATTATAAATTTGGTTTCTTCAGTTATAAATATAGTTCATAAATTAACACATTAACAGAATTGCATAGAATTCGCTTAATTGTGTTGCACGAAAATAAATCATTGATTATATTGGAGCAAACAATATAATACGTTCCTTGTAAATTTGTGCAAAAACACTCTGGAATATCTTGCTGAAATTATCTTGGATATCGTCGAAATTACCTTCAATAGCGTAGCGCAGATCGTGAATCACGTTCCATATGCTTCGGTCTTATGTATATCCCAAATTAGACTATGCTCGTGATTGACTCATTCGAATCGATGCACACTATTGTTCGCTGCATGCCATTGTATGCATGTTGTATAGTGCAGAGCGATCATTAATATACAACGCAACAAGGCGACATTCAGTGACTGAAAATCAGATGAGCGATCTATTGGGATATCGATTCGATAGATCACTTGTCATGAGTCGCATCACGATGTGACTGCAAGACGTAGGAACGGAATTACAATAAATTTTTGCAATATGATAAAGAAAATATTAATATTAAAAAAATTATTTTATTAATATGAATAATGCGGCAATAATTTTTGACAAAATACTTACGGGTTTTCAATATTTAATAAACTTATTATTGATTAGAAAATGTAACACAAAAAATAATAATTATAAAAATATATTTGCAACTGTTTGGATATCAATTAGAGAAATAATTATTAAATAAACAATTTAAAATTTACACGTATGATCTATACGTTTATAATAAAAATTATTTACACAATTAAATAAATCTATATACTAAATTTGCAGCAATCGAATGTATATAATAAACAAGCAATAATTTACTAACGATCATCATCATCATTCACAAATCAAGTATAATTAGAAATTTGATAAATATTGAGGATTCTCCCTACAGTACACATCAAATATTTGTCATTTGTGTAATATATCGATCATACTCGGCATGTTTAGGGAAGAACTGTGACATGCGAATAGTATGCACAAAATATTGAAATGAAATAAACGAGCAACCAGTTGCGTTTCAGTTTGGAAAACGAATAATACATAATGCGAAGACAGGTTGTGTCGTAAATACCTTTCATTATTTCGTTCATTAGAACAGTATATGTACAGCTATCGATACCTTAAGTAGTCGAGACAGACATATGGTCCGTCCGCCTTTCTTAACCATGAGATAGGACGAAGGCGCTATCGGGGGAACGATTCCTCCCCTTTCTCACCCCTTCCTCGAGCGACTTGCGCGCGCTCATGATTTCACGAGGTCCTCTTTATTTCGGGTATACCGTGGACAAATGCGACTAACGTATCGAACTTCCGTCCGGGCTAATTTATGGCGTTGGGATTAGGGGAGTAAAATAGAGAGGGTGAGGCCCGGAAAATAGCAATTCTGCAGTGCGGGTAACTATCCCCCTTTCTCTTCTTCTCTCTTTCCCCCGGTCTCTTTCTCGATCTACCTCGCCGAACGGGTATAAACGCTTAAAAGGCGAGCTTCTCTCCCGGCCACGGTAAAATATCACTGCTAAGAAAAAGAAACGATTACCCCCTCTGGGGGTTGACAAAAACAGGGATAATAAAACTCGGGGAACGTCACCCTCCCTTCCGTCTGACCGAACTGGGAGGATACATTCGAACGATTACCTTTCCGGTTACGTAGCCATACATGCAGCCGAACCTCTTCGGACTGCTGTTTTTAAACGGGATAAAAGAAGAATAGAAAGCGATATATATTTGTTGCATTAAGCGCGATGCGGACGGAAAATACTCGAGGGAAAAGTTGCATTAGCGCGCAATATAGCTACGTTCTCTCAACAAGCTTGAAGAGCAACCTTGATGTACTACGTGGTAAAATACATGTTTTCAATATGCTTCTAACGATGTGTATTATGAGGATTTTACGTACGCTCTTATTCTCATTAAAATTGACGGAAGCATCAGAGAAAACTTTTATTTTATATACGTAGGTATGTGTATGCATATATGCATATATTGCATATATTATATATAATATGTATGTATATAGATTTCTCTTGATCAAGTTCTTGTAAGTTAAAAATTTGAAATTTATTTTTGTTACCCAGTTACTATACATGCTTCGTTTACTAATTGGGGTTGAACAAAGCGTCATTTATCAGAAATTACCTCTATTTTATGCGCGGAGAAACAGAAGAGTTAAGCTGAATCATGCTCAATTAATCATGCTTATTTAGTGTAATATGGGTCACCGCGTCTTTCGAGCGCTGCGCATGTA